AAGCCAACAACTCGGGAAACGATCTCGGGAGTCTCTAATGGCGGCCAGCGACTCCTCCGATCTACAGACATCTCGCCGCCTCTTCGTCACAGACAAGGTAACAAAACAACAGTTCCTCATTGACACTGGAGCAGATGTTTGCGTCTATCCACGAAAAATGCTTTCAGGTAAAATACTAAAATCTGACTATACACTATACGCAGCAAACAACACCGAAATTGCCACTTACGGGTTGCATACCTTATCTTTGGACCTAGGCCTACGCCGAGCATTTGTGTGGCGTTTTATCATAGCTGATGTTGCCAAACCGATCATTGGAGTTGACTTTCTTCATCATTATGATTTATTAGTGGATGTTCGACGTCAGTGTTTGATTGATCAGGTAACCTCTCTCGTTTCCACTGGTCGCGCAACATGCTCCAATTTGGTAAGTGGTATTAAAGCAATAAATGCAAACCAACCAAATGTCTACATGCAGCTCCTCCAATCATATGCGTCCCTTATTCGACCGGCAGGTAAACCTTCTGTCCCTGTCAAACACCAAACAGAACACCATATCCAGACAACCCCAGGACCACCAGTCTTTAGCAAACCCCGTCGTCTAGCCCCGGACAAGTTAAAGTTGGCCAAAAAAGAATTTGAGGTTATGGTCCAGTTAGGTATAGCTAGACCTTCTTCTAGCAGCTGGTCATCTCCTCTTCATATGGTTCCCAAAAAAGGAGACGAATGGAGACCATGTGGAGACTACAGAGCCCTAAATGCCAGAACCATTCCTGATCGCTACCCTATTCCTCACATTCAGGACTTTTCTCTAAATTTGCATGGTAAAAAAGTTTTCTCTACTATAGATCTTGTTCGTGCTTACCATCAGATTCCTGTAGCTCCTGATGACATTCATAAGACTGCTATAACAACACCTTTTGGTCTTTTCGAATTTCCTTTCATGTCTTTTGGACTTTGCAATGCTGCCCAAACCTTTCAACGTTTCATTGATGGTGTACTCAGTGGCCTAGACTTCTGTTACGCTTACATTGATGACATTCTCGTAGCTTCAGAATCCGAAGAACAACACCTCATTCACTTACGACAATTGTTTGACCGCCTATCCTCTTTCGGAGTCTTTGTCAACCCAAGTAAGTGCAACCTAGGAGTTCCCATGGTTAGTTTTCTCGAATATCAAGTTTCCGGAGAAGGGATAAAACCCTTACCTGAAAAAGTGAAAGCTCTTGACTGTTACCCCAAACCAAAGACTGCAAAGGAATTAAGAAGATTCACTGGTATGCTAAACTTTTATCGTAGATTCCTACCCCATTCAGCGTCCCAGCAGAGCACACTAAATGACCTTCTGAAAGCCAATCTAAAAGGTAATATGCCTATTAATTGGACTACAGAAAGTGAACAAGCTTTTGAAACTTGTAAAAAAAGCCTCAGTGAAGCCGTTATGTTGTCTCACCCTGCACCGAATGCCTCACTTGCAATCTTCTGCGATTCATCAGACTATGCTGTAGGAAGTGTATTGCAACAAAAGGTAGGACAAAACTGGCAACCACTATCTTTCTTTTCCAAAAAGTTAAGTCTAACTCAACAGAAATACAGTACTTATGACAGAGAACTAACAGCAATTTATCTTGCCATTAAGTATTTCAAACATATGCTAGAAGGAAGACAATTCATAATTTTTACAGATCACAAGCCTCTGACCTTTGCTTTCCGTCAAAAACCTGATAAGTGTTCTCCAAGACAGTTCCGTCACTTGGAATATATTGGACAGTTCTCAACTGACATTCGCCACGTTTCTGGACAAGAAAACGCAGTTGCAGATACCTTCTCTAGGATAGAAGAAGCCACTGCCTCCTTAAACTTCCAGGCTTTGGCAGAGTCTCAAGCTCAGGATGAAGAACTACAACACTATTTAGAAACAGAATCCAACCTAAAGCTCAAGCAAGTGCTGCTACCAGGAACGGAAATCTCACTTTATTGTGATGTATCTACTTCAAACCCCCGTCCTTTTGTCACAAAACAATTTCGAAAAAATGTTTTTTACAGCTTGCACAACCTGTCTCATCCCGGGATAAAGGCATCCACAAAACTGGTTAGCCAACGTTTTGTTTGGCCTTCAATGAAATCGGACTGTCGTTCTATGGCTCGCTCCTGCCTCTCCTGCCAGAAGTCAAAGATAACACGTCACAGTTCAACCCCAGTTGGTACGTTTGTTCCACCATCTTCTAGATTCGAACACATCCATATTGATCTAGTTGGCCCATTACCTGTTTCGGAAGGTTACAGGTATTGTTTGACTTGTGTTGACAGATTTACACGTTGGCCTGAAGCAGTTCCACTTGAGAACATAGAAGCTGAAACTGTAGCTCGTGCATTATTCACCAACTGGATTTCAAGGTTTGGAACGCCACTGCGCATAACCACAGATCAAGGTCGACAATTTGAATCATCTCTTTTCCAGCAGTTAACACAGTTAACTGGATCAACACGTCTGCGAACGACTGCCTATCACCCTGCTGCCAATGGACTCGTTGAACGCCTTCATCGACAACTCAAGGCAGCCATAAGGTGTCACACAACAGATCGTTGGACCGAAGTATTGCCAGTGATACTGATGGGGATCAGAGCTGCGTGGCGCGAAGATATGCAAGCTTCCTCTGCAGAACTCGTTTACGGTCAACCTCTACGACTTCCTGGAGAGTTTATGACACCCAGCCAAGATGGACATCAATTGGATCCACCAAACTTCATAAAGAGCTTACGTCAGCACTTCAACAACCTGCGTCCAGTCAGTGGAACTAGACATGGTGCGAAGACGCCATTCGTTTTTAAGGACCTTGCTACATGCACACATGTCTTTGTGCGGACTGACATCCCCAAGGGAGCTCTCGAACCCCCATACTCTGGCCCTTACCCTATTATCAGCAGAACCCCCAAGACTGCCGTTGTGGTGATTAAAGGCTGTAATGTCACGGTATCCATGGATCGACTCAAACCGGCATACTTTTGGTCCGAATACAAGAACGATGGATATGCACCAAATAGGACAGAAAGCAACAAATCCACACAAGCACAAAGCAAGACACAAAGCATGGATGATCCTAATTATACCAAGCAACCAAGTTCAAGCGAATTAAAACCTGCGATTAAGACAAAATCTGGGAGACATGTACGCTTTCCTGTACGATTTCAAGTATCATGATTTACTTCAATTAAATCATTAGCAGGGGGGTACTGTGGTGAGTGCTTCAATACTGTTGAAAACCAGCTGGACAATTATTTGTTTTTTTATAAAAGTATAACTTTGGTTTTGTTTAAATGAGTTGCTATGGTTACCTAACAGTTCATTCCTGGTTTTTATAATACATACACTTATGTTTTTGTCATGCTCATTAAATTCTATTTTCTATCAGTTTCTTGAATAATTTTATCATAAAAGTAACGAAAATAGTTAAAGAAGAACCTACTTCTTCATATATAATACGTGAAGCCGTATTTTGTTAACGCAACTCCTCCCTTATTTGTGGACCAATTTCAACGTTTAAGGTGTCAAAAGATTCGTCTCAATACGTAGTTTTGCAATAAGGTTTTAGAACTTTAAAATGTTTACTCTTAACAGTTAAAATGTTAAACAGTTAATCAGTTTTATTGAAAACGGGAGGAGGAGACAATTAATAATAAGGTATCTTATGCGTATAAGGAGAGTAGAGAAAGAGAGGCCTGGTTTAACAGATACACATCCATAAAATACACATTCACTTGGTGAGATGAATAATATTTGTTCTGCTATGCAACTTACTTTGGAAGTGAAAAAATATACGAAGCACATAGTGTTGTCACGATGGTAAAATAAAGTTGCCTAATGTCAGATCAAATTAATGCATGCGAGAAATGTTTACTTCTGACACTGACAGATCTCAAAAAATTTAGTACAAACAATAATAATGCCTTGACTATGATAAGTTCAAGTAGTAAGATTATACCAAATCTTGGTGGACCCTATGTTTTTATTGTAAACTTTTGTATTAGGGACGTGCTCTACTTTAATTGAGGAAAAAACACAAATGGATGGATTGTTTATTTCTAGGTTATGTTGCCAGTTCCTTGGACAAACTTATACAAGTTTTTTTACTGAATTTTAGTAGTAATATTAGACATAAGTGAAGGAATTAGTGTTTATGTATTCAACGATCGAGTAGTTACAGTCAAGTTTAATTTTATGATTCAGGAGAGGCAAATAATATACGCTGTTCAAAAAGAGAAAATGAAAATTGCTATCCAAATCTTATAGCTACAAGAGTTATCAAACCTATTTCGACAAATGAATCCATACTTTCAAAACTTTGGGACAGGTATTAAGAGAAACCCCAAAGAACAATGTGAGAACGTTCTGATGCAGGTCATATACTGTGACTAACACACAACACGTTAAAATACGTTAACAAACTATCAATGATGTAACGCCATTGATAAGTTGCTGCTTTAGCCTATTCAAAGCAGATTATGGCTTTCCAGTTGATAACCCAGAGTTTGTGGGTAAAAATGGAGCACATCAAATGGTTTATATCACTCCATTTTTCAGGATTCTCTACGGAGAAAATTCGTTTGATTAGGGGGATGTCTAGGCAACAGTTTTCTTAAATTCTCAATGCTGGAAAAACTTTGTTGCAACATGTTAGCTCGAATTGAAGCAGATCGCTTAGCATTCATTAGAAGTTATCAGTTAAAACTGAGAGCAGAAATAATGTAGGTGAACCTTGACGACACAAATAGGGATATTTAAAATAAATTCTAACAAGTGTTTAAACAACTCTAAGATGTAACTAGAATTACTCCAATTTAAGCATAACGTTTTCCTCAGCGTTGTTTTATACTATGCGGCTCATTGAGCCGCACAGGTTCTCTAGTAAAAATATATTTCTCTTACTCCTCTATTATGTAAGACAAGGACATGATCATGTGTGTAGTGTCTAACTTCTAACCTGTGTTGTTTGTTACAGCGGGATGGGATGAGCGCAGCGCAGGTGGCCGGCAGTGCAGGGGACACTGTCCGGGAACGAGCAATGCAGGCTGTAGAGTATTACAACAGCAATGTGCTTAGAGCTAGGTAAGTCACATACATTCTAATTGTGCTTAGAGCTAGGTAAGTTACATACATTCTAATAGTGCAGAGTAGCTCATGAAAACACAAATTTACAAAACTAAAAACATATCCTCTGTCCTTTTCAGTGCAATAACACCACCACAGTACCTGGAGACTGGCATAAAAACTATATAGTTGCCTCTGGCTTTCTTCATATAAACAATAACCTCATAAGGGTATTTGAAGTGACGTACAAGGTGGTATGTGGTTGTTACTTATTAGTGCTATATCATCAAGGCACCCTGAGACATTGATATTTAAATTCAAATCTCCCTCTCACACTTTGTGGTCAGTGCAATAACTTTTACAAGGGTACCTCGAGACTCTGATGTACAAACTGTTCAAAACTCTCCCTCTGATTAATATTAAACAATATAATATTATCAGGACAACCATGATATAAATATAGACATTGATGAACGGAACATTGACATACATAGGATTCTATAGGAACCTACCACTGCAAGAACTGCATACACTTTGTGTGGGAACCAAACCCTCTTTAATTTTATGGCTTAAACTGCATTGCAGCAACTGACGGTTTTGTTTTGTGTGGTGTTGTCAGGGTGGGGGCTGGACTGGTGTCTGCGTCTAGGTCTTCATACAATGACCGCCACCATCACCAACACTCGCCTGCAGTACGTCCCAGGACTGTGCAGGACGCATTGTACAGGAGCAACTCTAGTCTGGAGCTGATGCATGATCACACGCACTTCCACCATGACTCCAGGTACATAGCTACAAGATCTTTAAGGCCTGTACAAACTGCCGCAGTACGCGGTCTGCGGTTGTGGTACTGGGCGTAGCAGTAGACATGCTGCTAACTCCAACTAACAACGAAACAACTGCTCCCAGAGAATATGTGTGCTGCTGAAATAGCGTTTAGCAAAAATAGAGCATGCAGCTTTTTGGCGCTACGAGGGTATATTGTACCGTGCCATTGGCGGTATACTGCGCCAGTGTGAGTGCTCCCATTAGCTCACGTTGTTCTAAAATACCTGGTGGTTTACTCGTACCGCATACTGCGGCAGTTTGGGTGGGCCTTAAAGGTTTTGTGCAATTTGCCATTCCTTTACAGTAATTTAAAATAAGTGCATTGAAAACTTTCACTGTAAGCTCAATAAATCACACGTGGGTCCAGAATGTTTTGCTACAGAGTTATTCTCGTATGGGGGCTGTAATAATTAAACTTTTAATGCAATTATTACATTCAAAACATATTTTAAGTAACAAATATTTGGGAAACTCAACATACTCATGTGTCTAGGGGTGGAAGTATAAACTTTTAATGCAATTATTACATTCAAAGTATACTTTAAATGATGAATATTTCGAAAACTCAACATAATATTGTGTATAGGGGCGGAAGTATGGTGTCGCCAGTGCTACGTAGGGAGTACGGCAGTCACGGCAGCATTGACGTCATCGCAGATAAGCAGACGACGGGAGAGTCGTTCTTTGCGATGCTACAAGACTACAGGCCAGCAGTGCTGGGACTGGGTGATTATAACATTCTGATTCTTATTCATTAACTGCCTGGTTGTCGACAATAGTGGTTTACAAATCAGTAAGAAAAAATATTAGAACAGTAGTGAAATGGACGAGTCAGTAACTGTAATAACTACTTTTGAAAATTATACATCTGCTGTGTAGGTAGAGGCCAAGATGAATTTAAAGTGTGTACCGGTAATCGGGTTAAATTCTGCACTCTGTAGTCTATTGTGATTAACGACAAGCCGGCTTTAATGATTGTGACAAGCAGGGTTTTCAATGTCGGATGTTTGCTTGTGTGTTCTAAAGAATGTTTTTCTTAGTTTTTGTTCATTTCCATTCTTTTAGGTTATTGCTATTCTAATATTGTTACTTTATGAACTTTTTTGAGAACCACACCTATTAATGATGACTACTTCATGATTACTGAGTTTGTATCATGTTTAATTTTAAATTTTTCTCTTGCAGTCTTACACAACCCACTAAGAGATTGAGACGGTTAGGTGACACAATTCAAGAATGTTTACACAATAAAGTTTAGATCTTCTACAGAAAAGTAAGACAGAGGAAACACTCTTAGAGACAACCATTGCGCTTTCAGCTGTGATATGTTGTTCCAGAAATGTTTTTGGGAAGTGCCCGAACAGCGAGCAATGTGTGGAATTTCCTATTGCACGGTACACAAGGTCTTCCTCCACCGTGAATGTTGTTGTACATGAAGGCGAAGGGAGTAGTGTTGGACATTGCCCTAGACACCAGCACTAGTTCTGGACACCACTTTAATGTACCATGGAGTGTATCCTCTATTCCTTATTTCTCTGTGGATATTCTTACTTAAAAAAGAGTCTGAAACATACTCTGTAAAGTAGGCAGATTAATACAGAATAAAAATAAATACACACATTCTGTTGATAGCACCATGTTATAGCATTTTTGTTTGCATTATGATTATGCAACTGATTATTGCACAATGTGAAAGAAATTTTGGGGTTGTTCAAGGTACAGACCAGCGCAGTCCGGGGCCTACGGAGTACCTGCGGGGCAAGGTGGATGCGGCCCCCACCACTGACAATGCTGCCAACACTCTGGCAGATGACACAAACAGTCCTGCCAACACCAGCCCCAAACTGAGGCTTAAGTTCCACCGCTTTTGGTCAGGTATGTTCCGTCAGATTCAACGAAATAATTTACAAAACATTTTTATCTCATTGTACAACTAAGTCGAATACTTTCTGTTGAACCTTTGACATTTTGACATGTGTTTTGTAATGATTATTTACACAAGTAAATAAAACAAATGTTACAGTTGATTGCATCTATTTTGTTTCACAAAGAAGTCTTAATAATAATTGGTGTATTTTCATAATCAATATCCAAGAATAAGACCTCACTAATATCCACAGTACCTTATGAAAGAATAAAATATGTTTAATTTGAATAGAATTCAATGCAATTAGAAGTTTTTTGAAAATCAAAATCCCTCAAATCTTGATGAAAACACACTAAATGGTACATAATTTAGGCAATGATCAGTGTCAATGAGTGAAGTAAAAGCTTTGTTGCTGGCTAAGACCAGCTAGGTTACAAGTCAGAATCACTCATAAAGCCAAGTAATCAAGAACAGCTGCTCCAAGGTTCAATTATGTTGTACAGTGCTCCAAGTCTTACGCATTTAGCTACCCATTTTTAGTAATGAAATAATTATTGTAGTCCACTTATTATATATGCATGTACATAACTGGTCTGCATATAATAAAGACATTCCGTAACCCCAATTCTACATCGCAGGTAATGTTTCAAACAATGGCAAACCAGCGAGAGCAGCGACGTTGGACGACAGCGTGACGAGCGTGTGTATGTCACAAGAGTGTGAGGAGCGACAACGGAGGCGAGCGTTTGCTCACTACGACGTGCAGAGTCTGAACGCACGGCTACGTGGGCTGCTGCTGCTGTCTCGACGGCGCAACACGACCACTGGCGCCTCAGCTGCTAGTATGGGCGTGCGCGCCAGCACGCCAGACAGTGACGAGGACGGCGGCGACGGTCGCAGTAACCAGCTTCTGGAGAGGTGAGTAATTGCTAACTTTATGAAACACGATTACTACTCAAGAAAAATAATTTACCACCCAATGATTTCCTTAAAAACTTAAGTCAAAACTGTTTTTGTTAGTTTTAGGCCAGTAGCATTTCGTGATAGAGAACATTAAACAGTTTTAAGATAAAGCTGTTCCAAATCCCTCTTGCTCGCTTGGGACACTTATTTACTAGACTAGGAAAACATTTCAACTTATTGAGATAAAATCATATTTTGTTTTAAATAAGTGGATAATGTTAACCAAGAACCTTGAAACTGTTTTTTTTTATGTTTGATAGAAGGAGTAATATTGTGTCTGCGTTAGGGTTTTATCATAGTGCCAAAGAGACTGGTGATTTTTTAGGATAAAACTAAAGATGGATGTACATAAATGTTTTATAGAATTACAGAGCTTAGCACTTAAACGGCTCTTAGCACAGTTAACAGTTCACTAGCTGTTCAACTTATAGAGTAAATTAAACTTAACTCTTTAGTATGTGCCTTTAGCTTCGAAAGCTAATGTAATTATTTTGTAACAAAATGTTAATCTATATTAATATCAAAATGTAGTTTCATTTCTTTGATCAATGCCTTCATAGGCCTTGCGCAAAACCAATAGTTTTTCATTACTGTTTTCTTTCAGTTGCCCATTTTTTCGCAACGAGGTCGGAGGCGAGGAGGAGCGCGTGGTGTCCCTTACCAGGCTCAGTGCCCCGTCGCCCCGCCGAGCCCCTCCACCTCACCGACCCCCTCTGGCCTGTGGTGTGTCAGTGCTGGAGTATCCTCCCGGGGAGTCACACTGGACCCACAACTGCTGTCCGTACCAGCGGAATCTCCGCCTCATTGAGTGTGTTGACCACGGCGCACTGTACTACCGCAACTACTTCTACCAGCAAGGTCTGACTCATTTAAGGCGTTGTTCATAAATATATATATATATATATGTTGTCACTTTTTGTATGAAAACTTTTCTGTTGGTTTACTACCACTTTATATGTACAGTACTACCACTGTATCAGGAACAATCTATATATTTAATACGCGACATGAAACTTTGTGAACAATAAGGCTTTTTTGTTTTAAGATTTAACCCCACATATTATATACCAAAATGTTCGTCTAGGTGTGTAGATGTGCAAACTGGCTTTAGATTTTCGAAATATATCTTTATAAGGGCGTGGGCTGCCCTCAAAGTTCCTTCCATAAGGATAACATTGTGATTGATTTGAATGTTATTATATTCTGAAACAGATGTCAATACATTAGTTTACAGAAAAATTAAATCCCAGCTGTTTTATTTGGTTTTGAAATGTAAACAGTTTGCATGTTTTTAAAAGTAATTAGAACTCCGGCATAGAAATTTTACCTGAGGACACGACGGGAGAAAGGTTGTACATTATATTTTCGTTGAAAACATGCTAAGGACCCGACGACAAAGAAATATTGCCGGTCGGACACGGCGAGTCAACATACGGCAAGCAATACAAAACGTAAGGACGAGGAGCTGGAACAGTTAGTGGCAACGTGTGCTTACAAAATTGCCCTGACAAATACAAGAATTCAGCAGCATTCACTTGGCGAGATGGCATTAAAATGTCAGAAATGTGGTGCGCTACATTTTAAAGAAGAACAAAGAGGACGAGGCCAAGGATTTTCATCCTGCTGCCATAAAGTTACTTAATGGAGCAAATCATTTTAGGAGAAACTACAAAGAAAACATTAGATCGTAGAACTCTGCGCTCGCAATGGTCAGCACTTGAGCTAAAATTGAAGAACATAACGATGGAGGGCCTTTCATGTATGAGGTGCACGACACAATTTATCACTTAATTGGCAACTTTCAACCGTCAGAAGGGGAGCATCCCACATATGCCCAAGCTTATATCTACGGACGTCGAAACCGCTATTCAAGAAAGAATGCTAAACAAATGGCTCTTGCAGCACTGAACTCATGCACATTTTGACTCAACATTTGGTTGATATTAATCCATACGCGTAAGTTTTCAGCATGATGAGCTCCGTCCTGCAAAATACTCCTACTGAACAGCAAAAAGACCTTAGCATGCATATAGCCAACGATCTAGCTCAAGACCATGCAACGTCGATACAACGACGCAACTTCTAACGACGTTGCTGTAATACTAATTTATTATTCGTGCGAATTCGCACGGGTTCACCTAGTGCACAATATTTTCCCACCCTGTTAGATTTTGCTAAAGCCGCTAGTTACACTTTTGGATGTCTCATTCTATTGGTATAACTGTATTTACAGAAAATTTTGTGATCCCTAATATTTAAGTTTTTGTTCAATTTCTGACCAATCAGAGAACACAATGTATGTAATAATTTATTTTTGTAAAAAAATACAACCGACTTCAAACGCTCTAAAAAGAATGAAATAATTTCAATAAAGTAAACTTTTGTATTAGGCAAGCTCACGTATTTAAAGTCGGCGCGGCTCTATGATGATTTTTGATACAAAACTTAAAGAGGGTTGCCATATTGCAGGTGACTATCTATAACTAAAGGGGTTAATCTGCATGTCTTTTTCATAGTTATGCGTTAAGTGTTATTTTATTACCGTAATCAGAGATCGGCATCATAGTGGTATTAACGAGTATCTTTAAAAATATTATAACGCATTTAAATGTTTCTAACTTAGAAAAGTAACGTTTTAATACTAAACTAGCTTCTTTTCCCTATCATAATATCAAACTAAATCATTTTCCTATTCATATAGAACATTTGTGTGTGTTATTTTCATAATACATTTATTCTGAAGTAAACATAAAATACAAGAAAATATTTCCTTTAATACATAAACAAAACATTTCAGAATGTTTTTTTTTATATATATTTATGTTATCCAGCCACAATTTATTGATTTTCAAAATACACACACAATATTTAATTTCAATCATATTTGCAGTTTGAGCCGCGCCGACTTGAAATACGTGAGCTTGCCTAATACAAAAGTTTACTTTATTGAAATTATTTCATTCTTTTTAGAGCGTTTGAAGTCGGTTGTATTTTTTTACAAAAATAAATTATTTCATGATTTTTAGTGACTGTATATTTTTTTATGTATTAATTACTTGAGGTTTTTTGATAAGCAAAACTGTTTGAAACAATCAAAAGTTCCACAGAACAATCATTATTTTAAAACTGATTGAGTCACCTGTTCAGGTTACATAATCAATGGGTATGAAAATAAACATTTTTAGATATTCCTTAAGAAAGAAAGAGTTGTCCATTACATTAGGCCTAATGAAAAACTAATAGTCTTTTCTAGATACATTGAAATGTCAGACATCATCGTTTCCTGCAATCGGTGTACTTCTACATTATAAAAAGAAATACAGTAACGTCTCAAGCCTTTTGGAACAATATGAAAGTTATTCCTCAGCTACCAACACTAAAAAATCTCTCAAAAGTGGAAAATTGGTCGTTAACACGTATAGTACCTTTGGAAAATATTATATGAAAGATTGGTTCAGCTAAAAGTGGTGTAAGTCATGTAGGAGGGGGGGTTTTGTTTGCTCAAGTTATAGCCTAGTCGAAATTGCAAATCATCCTCCTCTAGGACTTTCCGAAGCAGGCATGATAAACGTTACGTAACTTGATATGTTATAGTAACTGCGGTTAGAGAATATTAATAAACCTTCCACATCTGCAAATGAAATATGTATATGAAAGATTGGTTCAGCTAAAAGTGGTGCAAGCCATGTAGGTAGTTTTGTTTGATCAAGATATAGCCTAGTCGAAATTGCAAATCATCTTCCTCTAGGACTTTCCGAAGCAGGCATAATAGTATTGATATGATATAGTAACTGGGTAGAGAATATCAATAAACATTCCACATCTGCAAATGCATGTTGAGTAATTAAAATATTTAACATTTTTAAGACAATTGACGATTATGCACTGTCACACTTTTTAGGTCGTGTAAGGAATAATTGCATTTAATTTATATTTAGACCTGTTTTACGAATGCTTTGGTTTTCACAATACACCTTTATTTGTCAATATCATACAGCTATTCACTGAAACATATATGTTTTTGTAAGTCAGAATATTCAATACTAAAAACTGAATTACTGTATACACAAATCAGGTCAAACGTTAAAATACATTTTTTATAGTAACCAAATCAGAATGCATTTTTCTCAATGTAATTCATTAAAGCTCCATGGCAAGAAATAGTTTATTGATCAATATGAAGAAACTGTTTCATGAAGAATTGTCTGTAGCTTCATTTAAATGGTTTCAACTAACAGCTGTAGGAATGTTATTATTATTTATTGCCTTCTCTGCACAAATGTAAACAATCTGAACAAATGTAAACAAAATAAGTGTTGAATATTTAAGGTTTTCAGAATTTTTCACCGAAACAAATATTATACTTAAAGATAATATATAAGGTACCAAATAGAAACTCTCCTGGTTATTTTGGTGGTGGAACCACACTGATCGCTAAAAGAATAACAGAGAAATTGGTGAACATACATAGAAAAAAAAAACATCGCCACAAACAAATTGAGAACCTCCTCCTTTTGTTGGTAGTGGGGAAGTCGGTTAAAAAATACTGCGTGTCCATTTGTGTTTTTAGAGTTAGGTTGTAGGTAAGTTTTTGTAGAGCTTAAATAATTATTATATCTATCAATCTATCTATAAGAGAGTTACAGACACCACAATCAGTAATACAAAAATTGTTAAGTTTTTAGGTCTAAATTTAGACTCAAAATTAAGTTGGTCTGATCACATTCATCATATAAATAAAAAATTAAGGTCAACAAGGTATTCACTAAGTGTACTATCCAAGGTCACGCCGCTAGAAGTCTGCTTGACAGTATATCATGCGTATGTTCATTCTTTGCTGGCTTATGGCGTCACTCTATGGGGTAACTCTGCAGAGGCCAAGAAAGTGTTCACTTGCCAAAAGTCAATTCTCAGAACTATTTTTCACCAGAAGTCTAAAAACAGCTGTAAACCTTTTTTCAAAAAACATTCCATTTTAACATTACCTTCTCTTTATATATTTGAAATAGCAAAGTATGTTCATGCAAATTCCTTCTTTTTTGAAAAATATAAAATAAATCATAACTATCAAACGAGAAATAATAACAAAACTTTTCAATATCCCAAACATTCGCACACAAAATTTGAAACTGGGCCTCTTTACATGGGATTAAAAATCTACAATCATTTACCTAATTCATACAGAACTTTATCAAAACCAAATTTTACATATAAACTGAAAGAGACTTTGAGCCAAAAAGCGTATTACAAAATTCAGACGTTTTTTAAAGATAAATTGTAATAGTTTTTACTCTTGTCAGGGTATAATTAGATTAAGGAACCTAGATATAAATTGACCATGTACCAGCTTGGGAATTACTTTTGTAATTATTGTATCAGGCGTGATGTACAATAAAGCTTTGTCTATTGTCTATTGTCTATTGTCTATATATATAATACGTGAAGCAGTTTTTTGTTAACGCAACTCCTCCCTTATTTGTGGACCGATTTCAACGTTTAAAGTGTCAACAGATTCGTTTCAATATGTAGTTTTGCAATAAGGTTTTAGAAATTTAAAACTCCTACTCTTAAGGGCGCGAGACCCTCTCAAAGGTAGAGTTTTCCCCAAAAGAAATACATAGAACAAATTTTAAAACAAAAAACAGCTGTTTATAAAAAGAAAATACATTAGTTTTTTGGGAGTAAATATTAATGTTTATAATATTGAGTAGGTTAAGGCCAAGTTAAAAAGCGTTAATCAGTTTTGTTGGAAGAACAGAAAATGTCTCAAGTTCAAAGAATAAATATTGAAAACGGGAGGAAGAGACAATTAATAATAAGATTTCTTATGCGTATGAGGATAGTAGAAAAAGAGAGGCCTGGTCTAACAGATACCCATCCAGATACACATTCACTTAGTGAGATGTAGTAATAGAGATCGATGAGTGAGATGAATAATATATGCCAGTTCTGCTATGCAACTTACTTTGGAAGTGAAAAAAATATACGAAGCACATAGTGTTGTCACGGTGGTAAAGTAAACTTGCCTAATGTCAGATGAAATAATGCATGCAAGAAATGTTTACTTCTGACCCTGCCAGATCGAGATATTTCAAAACATTTAGTAGAAACTATAATAGTGCCTCGACTATGATAAGTTCAAGTAGTAAGATTATACCAAATCATGGTGGACCTTTTGCTTTTATTGTAAACTTTGTATTACTTGCTCTACTCCAATTGAGAAAAAAAGGAAATGTTTACTTCTAGGTCATGTTGCCAGTTCCTCGGACAAACTTATACAAAGTTTTTTGACTGAATTCACCAACACAATCCAGACATTTTAAGTCCAAAATAAGAAGTTTCAAAAACTCATTTACTATTGAAAGTTTTAGTGGCAATATTAGACCAAACATAAGTGAAGGAATCAGTGTTTATGTATTCAACGATCGAGTAGTTACGGTCAAGTTTATTTTTCTGATTCAGGAGAGGCAAATAATATACGCTGTTCAAAAAGAGAAAGTGTAAATTGCTATCCAAATTGTATGGCTACAAGAGTTATCCAACCTATTTCGACAAACGAATCCATACTTTTAAAACTTTGGGACAGGTATTAAGAGAAACTCCACTAAACAACGTGAGACTGACAGACAACACGTTAAAATACGATAACCAACTTCCAATGGTGTTGCTGCTTTAGCCTATTCAAAGCAGATTATGGCTGTCCAATTGGTAACTAAGAGTTTGTGGATAAAAATGGAACACATGAAATGGTTTGATATCACCCCAATTTTCAGGATTCTCTACGAAGAAAATTCATTTGATTAGGGGGATTTATCAGTAAGGCAACAGTTTTATTCAATTCTCAATGCTGGAAAAACTTTGTTGCAACATGTTAATTTGAACAACTCCAAGTTGTAACTACAATGACTCGAATTTTAGCATAACGTTTTCCTCGGTGTTATGTTTCATACTATGCGGCTCATTGAGCTGCACAGGTTCTCTAGTTATTCATGTAATTGTTGTTCTATACTGAAAATTTGGTTGAACTGTTACAGTAATTGACCAAGTAGTTTTTTGTCTGTTCACATTTATAACTTAAGTAATTTGAACATTAAATCTTACAGAGCATCAAAACTGGTTCGGGATGGATGAGAACCTGGGACCTGTTGCTATTAGCATCAAACGGGAAAAGTTAGAAAGGCAATCCCAGCAGCAGCAGCAACAACAACAACAGTCAACAGACAACAACAACACACCTCCACTACTGTGCTATAGAATAGTCATACGCACAAGTGAGGTTAGAACACAAACGTCATCGTAGTTGTCTGGTTTATTCATACTGTAGTTGAGTTTCGTGTGATAAGAATTGGAAGAACAGCCAGTCTTGATTAGTTTAGATTAGAGATTGATTGATCCCAATTTAATTAAATAATTCCGATTCTGGTGTTGGTCCTAACATTTATTTTCAATTCGGATCCTACCCACATCCAAAATCTGTAAAGTAAAAAGTGAATGGAAGCACTTTTCAATCATAATCCTAGTAATACTGTATTTTAAATAACCTGTAGTAATAATAGGTAGGTTGATATTGTAAAAAAATGTCAACAATCAAAAAATAAAAAATACAGAAAGCTGTTGGTAGTGGGCCAGTGTATTTACTACGGTCAGTTTGTGAGATGATTTAGGTGTAAAGCTTTTAGAAGATAGAATTCCCCTATAGGGAGCTGGAGCTCAAGGCAATAATCCAGAGTTCAAGTATGGGTGAAATATTTCTCTAAACTAGGGTTCAAAAATGTTGATCTAAAATGAGGTGTTTAAGCAATTCTTAGTAATTCCAGGCCACTCTTTCCTTTGATATAATTGTTTTACTTGCTTACTTACTTCCTGCCTTACTGCCATGGCCACTTGTACCCAAGCTGGTACTTGGCCTCGCCAACACGTTGTCGCCTGTTCTCTCAGTCCTCCAAATCTTCTTCTACTAAGTCTCATCTTTTCCATTTCCTTCCGGACTTGATCCCACCACCTGGCCTTTTGTTCTTCCTACTGGTCTCCTTCCCCTCGGATCTCAGATCTGTTTTAACAATCACAATTTGTGTTCTTGTTCAAATGTTAAGTTTTGAATAAAGCTTGTTTTTTTTTCTTAGATAATTTGAGTAGAACCTCTTTGCTACACCCACAAATAATTGTTTAACCTTTGGGCAGTCTCTTCACCTTGCATTATCATTTGCAGCTGCTCACATTAAGAGGCTCAGTGCTGGAGGATGCCATCCCCAGCCTCAAGTCGTCAAGTAGCAGCAAAACCATGAATACCAAAGAAGTTCTCGAATATGTCGCCCCTGAAGTACAACTGTCATGGTAGGATTTGTTTGCTTCAGTAATGTGTTTTGCTATCACATTTAATTGTCTAGTGAAGGTTGTGTTTGTTTTAATTATTTTACACTACTGTATTTCATTAACTTGATTTATTTTGTAAAACAGTTAAAATTGAAGAACACTCTAATAAAAGCATTAGTTATTCATAGTTATTATGTACAAATTATTGATGAGTTGGTGGTTCAATTGGTAGTGCGACAGACTAGCAACATTAATTGTTTACGTCCTAATGCTTTCCACTAAAATCTATCAGTACAGTTCACTTTTGTCCTGTACTGGCTCACCCCTTGCTTTGCTGAAACGTGTCACAGGCTAGAGGCCTGTGTATATTTGAAAGGTAAAAAGTGGCAGCCAACTTCTTAAAAATAGTATTATTTCAGCAATACTTTAATTTTAAAAGCTTTTCCACTCTCACCCAATATATTTTCTTATGTGATAGCAACTAGCATAACACTTTTCCTGTTTGCAGTTTGAGGTTAGGGACTAGCACACCTCAAACAGAGGAACAGCTGTTGAAGTTGGATGAGCAAGGACTCAGTAGTCATTACAAGGTAGGACCAGCTCAATATGTTTATGTAATTTTAAATATTTGTGCTTACAAATTGGTTGATAAAAACACTTTGAAAAAATTATTAGTTCTAAAGTGAAGTTATTTAAACATTTTAGTTTCTGTAGTACCTGGGGACCGAGCTTTGCTCGGGGAAAATCATTAGTTCACTCTAAAAGCAGTCTTAGTATTGGAGATACATAAATCCATTCCCAAACTCCACACGATTTGCCTTTACTAAGTCCTACACCATTTCCTACGTCATGGACCTGTTTCCCTGCATTCCCATAGCACTTTAGGATTGTAGATACCTTAAACTAATCGTTATTAACAGATCCCACACTCTGGACAGCTCACCTTAACTACTTCCTTCACCACTTCCAACGTAGTGGACTTGTTTTCCTCCCTTCCCATAGCATTTCAGAATTGCAGACACCATAATCTAATCGTCATAAACAGTTCCCACACTCCGGACTTCTCGCCTTGACTACTTCCTTCACCACTTCCTACGTCGCGGACCTCTTTCCCTTCCTTCCCATAGCATTTTAGGATTGCTAATACCTTAATCTAATCGTCATAAACAGTTCCCACACTCCGGACAGCTCGCCTTGACTACTTCCTTCACCACTTCCTACGTCGTGGACCTGTTTTCCTCCCTTCCCATAGCATTTTAGGATTGCAAATACCTTAATCTAATCATCATAAACAGTTCCAACGCTCCAGACAGCTCTCCTTAACTACAGTCTAACCTTGATATAACGAACCTCGATACAACGAATTCCTTGATATAACGATTTTTTTTAAAATCCCCTAGAACTCTCCATAAGACACAATGTATATTTTACCTCTACATAACGAACAAACCATAACAACGACCTTGATTTAACGAATTTTTCGTGATTTCGGCTAAAATAAGTCACCTCAATATAGCGAATTTATCATTATCAGAACCTCTACTTTGCGAATTTAACCTCTGCATAAGGAATTGTCTACGTCTTTCCCTCGATATAACAAATCCCCCACCCCATTATTGTTTTTGAAAAATCTGTTTCTTTATCAAATGAAATAGAAAGGTGACGTCATCGCTTGCGCTAACATTCGTCTGCTCCGTTTTACACATCTCCGTCTGCTGTCGCTGCGCGCGCTATGTTGCAACCGGGAACGAGAACTGATTTCATTCACTGAGGACTGATGACGACGTAATGTTTAGTAAGCTGTGATTGGGCGATAAGTAACTATGGTGAATTGTACAATTTGTGGATAAAGAGAAACCTAAGAAAGAATATAAAAACAAAACCAAAGAGAAAGAATAGCAACATCCTTATTTTTTCGAGTGTTTTTATTATCTTTAAATTGGCTATGATTATACACTTTTATAATGACTTAATTTATTCTTTTCAATACGATTTGTTTCAACTAGCAACACCAATGCTACAGTTAATGATTATTATTGACATTCCTCTGTTGTGATAAATCAGTTAAGTAGCCTACCGGCCTATCACGAGCAGTAGAATACAAAACTTTCTACTACTGTTTTGTTTTGTTCTTTACAAGGTCTTTGACTACGCAATACAGTGTTTGGCTAGGTTTTAGGAGGGTTAGAACAAGCTTTGATTTTAAACTTATGCCCCCAGTACACTCTCGCCGAGACGCTCGCCGAGAAATTCCGGCGAGAGCTTATGCGAAATAACCGTGTACACACTCGCTTTGTCTCGCAGTCGAATTGGAGGCAAACTTCGATGTGGAAGTAGCGCTCGCCACTCGTGCAGTCTCGGGTCCTTTGACTCGTGTCAAAAAACCGACTCCAGACGGAGCGCCGGCGAGCACGAGGCTAGGCGAGGCGAGGCGACCCGAGTCAAGGCGAGTGAAGACGAACGCACCGAGTACACTCTCGCACTCGCCAACGCTCGCCTTGCCTCGGCGAGAGTGTACTGGGGGCATTACAGTTTTTAGCCTGTGTCAAGGTCAATGCCATTTTCATGATTGCGCAATATTCAAGATCCCTCCCCTTTTTTATGCCGGACAATTTAGGTTCTACTGTACAATGTAAACACTGTACTGTAAAGTATTGTAGCCTATGCTACTTTAATTGTGTTTTAATGATGTCTAATCCCGACCTATATTGACCGACTCTGGTTCTGAACCTCGACTTAGCGAAATTCCTGCAAACATAACCTCTATATAACGAACCCCGTTTTAACGAAATCCTTGATATAACGAATATTCAGTTCGGTCCCTTCAGATTCGTTATACTGAGGTTGGACTGTACTTCCTTCACCACTTCCTACGTCACTGACCTGTTTCCCTCCCTTCCCATAGCATTTCAGGATTGCCCATACCCTTATCTAATCGTCATAAACAGTTCCCACACTCCGGACAGCTCGCCTTGACTACTTCCTTCACCACTTCCTACGTCACGGACCTGTTTCCCTCCCTTCCCATAGCATTTTAGGATTGCCCATACCCTTATCTAATTGCCATAAACAGTTCCCACACTCCGGACAGCTCGCCTTGACTACTTCCTTCACCACTTCCTACGTTGTGGACCTGTTTTCCTCCCTTCCCATAGCATTTTAGGATTGCAAATACCTTAATCTAATCATCATAAACAGTTCCAACGCTCCAGACAGCTCTCCTTAACTACTTCCTTCACCACTTCCTACGTCACTGACCTGTTTCCCTCCCTTCCCATAGCATTTCAGGATTGCCCATACCCTTATCTAATCGTCATAAACAGTTCCCACACTCCGGACAGCTCGCCTTGACTACTTCCTTCACCACTTCCTACGTCACGGACCTGTTTCCCTCCCTTCCCATAGCATTTTAGGATTGCCCATACCCTTATCTAATTGTCATAAACAGTTCCCACACTCCGGACAGCTCGCTTTGACTACTTCCTTCACCACTTACTACGTCGCGGACCCGTTTCCCTCCCTTCCCATAGCATTTTAGGACTGCAGATACCTTAATCTAATCAACATAAACAGTTCCCACACTCCGGACTACTCGCCTTGACTACTTCCTTCACCACTTCCTACGTCGCGGACCCGTTTCCCTCCCTTCCCATAGCATTTTAGGATTGCAGATACCCTAATCTTATCGTCATAAACAGTCCTCACACTCCGGACTGCTCGCCTTTACTACTTCCTTCATCACTTCTTACGTCACGGACCTGTTTCCCTCCATTCCTATATTATTTTATGATTGCCTTTACTACTTCCTTCACCACTTCCTACGTCGCGGACCTGTTTCCTTCCCTTCCCATAGCTATTTAGGATTGCAGATACCTTAATCTATTAGTCATAAACAGATTCCAGACTTCGCACTGCTACCCTTGACTACAATGTATCGAGTAATCTTCAGTATAATCTTTGCTTAACAAGTGATGTTTTTCCTTTTGTACTGTATTTGTAATTTGCTAGTATACTGTGGGTAGCTGGCTTATTATGTTGTAATCTAATAAACTATACAGCCCGATGTGTAACTCACTCATTCACTGATCAGGTATACTAATGTTTGGGCACTTCTAGATGAGCTAGAGACTTGAAATTTTCGGCGTTTTGTAGGTCTAGTGCCCAAACCCCCGGGAAAATCCCGAAAAGTCGCAGTTTCCCCTTTCAACCCCCCCTAAATTAACGATTTCCCCCCTATGTTATTCTTATGGGAAATAACATTGAAAAATACCGACTTTCGTATGCTCATCTGAACCGTTTAGAAATGTGCTGGAGACTTGGAATTTGCGTAGTATTGTACTATGGGATCTTAAATTAGCGATAAAATTTGCAAAAGGCCCATTTTCAAATTTCAACCCCTCCAAATATCCAAAATGGCGCACCTCTGAAAACGACAAAACACGTTTTTTTCAAACGGCTATAGCTTGAAAACGGTAAGAGCTAGATTCAATTTGAGGAAAAATCGTGAGTTTGGAATGAAATTTTCTACAAGACACTTTTAAGTATTTTTGGAAAATCGCACTCCTTCACCTTCAAAAAACGCCCTACTTCCAAAAATTGTAAAAGTTCTCGATTTTTTTACGTGTTTTTAATTTTTAAAACTACTCTTAGTACATATATTTCTACTTTTTATGCTCCCAACGTAGAAAGGAAAGTGTCTTAAGTGAACTTCTATAATTTTAATCGAATGAACAAAATTAAAAATGGGGGTTATTCAATTAAAAAGATTGTTTATTAACGTATTCCTATGGAGAATTAGCATGCATTGACATGCAAACTAAACTCAAATGTAAGTAGGTGCAGGAAAAATACTGGACAACAACCTGTCCCCTGTGGCTCATTTGTACGTACCCCCCAAAAAAAAAAGGGGGCCTGGGGGCGGAGCCCCCAGCGAGCCTAAGGCGAGTCTAAATAACTATACAGCCCGATGTGTAACTCACTCAATGGGGATACAAATTCTAGACCACTTCTAGATGTGCTAGGGAGTTGAAATTTGGCACGATTGTCGGTCTTGGTACTAAACCCCCGGGAAAATTCTGAAAAGTCGCATTTTTTTATTTTAACCCCCCCTTATTTAAGAATTTCCCCCCCAATGTTATTCTTATGGGAAATAACATTGAAAATTACCGACTTTGGTATGCTCATCTGAACCACTTAGAAACGTGGTAGAGACTTCAAATTTGCGTAGTATTGCAGTATGGGATCTTACATTACCGGTGGAATTGGCAAAAGTCCCATTTTAAAATTTTAACCCCCTCAAAAATCCAAAATGGCGGACCTCTGAAAACGAAAAAACACGTTTTTTTCAACCGGATGTAGCTCGAAAACGGTAAGAGATAGAAAAGATTTGAAAGTATATCCAGGAACAGGAATTAAATTTTGTACAAAACCCTCTTCGGCGTTTTCCAAAAATCGCACTCCTTCAGCTTCAAAAAACGCCCTACTTTCAAAATTTGATAAATTTCTTTCTAATTTTTACCGGTTTTCGCTATTTTTTCATACTTAAATATTTTTTATTTTCAAAAATTATTATTGCTTTGTATTCCTCTTA